ATCTTGGGTACACACGCACATGCGCCTGGTGTGAGTTTAAGCCACTGGGTCCAGGACTTGAACCATGGTCGACTACATGGGAGTTCAGCGACATAGCCATTATGCTAACTGCTGGTCCCTATTAAAGTTTTTTTAAAAAATATTTTTCCAGAAGGTGCTTGCTCTGGTCAGAGACTGAGAGAGAGGGAGAGGGAAAGTGAGAAAGCACCATCTTCCCGAGGGGGAATGGGGAATGGTCATGTTCTAATCCCTCCTCTCCCATCTGTCTCTCCCTTTGAGATTTTGGCATGTATACACGTGGGCAGTGTTTCCAGAGCCACTGGGTCCGAGACTCAGAACTGCTCAGTCGGATATGTAGGATCCAGCACTGTGCCAGGGGCTGCGTGTGTGTGTGTTTAAGTGTATCTTTCTTCTTCCTCTTCTTTTTTTAACGATTTTATTTACCTTTACTTATTTATTTATTTTAATTTGACCAGAGAAGGACAGAGTGAGAGAGAGAGAGAGGGAAAGTGAGAGAGAGAGAGGGAAAGTGAGAAAGCAAGCCGCTGGGTCTGGGACTTGAACCACAGTCGGCCCCGTGAGAGTCTACAGCCCTTGACTACCGTGTCACCTGCCAGCCCCCTTTCTTTTTTCTTAAAGAGAGATTTTTGCTCAAGGGTTCGTGCAAGCTCCAGAGAGATAGACAACAAGAACTCACCCAGGGGGGATGGCCATGCTGCAGTCCCTTCTCTTCCAGTCTCCTCTTGGGATTTTGGGCATGCACACACACATGTACGGCATGAGTTTGGAGCCGGCAGGTCCAGGACTCGAACTGTGGTCGAACATGTGGGAGTCCAGCAACTTACCCATCACACCTTCTGCTGGTCCCAAGTTGTATTTTTTTCATGAGGGAGAAAGAGGAGAGCACGTGTTCCCTTTGTGGTCCAGAGTCCTTGAGATTGCCTTCCCCCAGCCAGTGAGGATCTTGGTTGTGCCCGTGCCTAGTGAGCTTCGTTCAGTTCAGACTCCCAGTGCGTGTCTGGCCATGCGATGTCCAGCCCTGCTGCTCGTGCCACCAAGGCCAGGCTGAGCTGTGTTCAGTTCTGTTGCTGAGAAGCATGTGAGAGTGTTGGCTCTCAGACCGGCTGGTAGTATGGTGGTTAGGACAGCCGGATGCCACAGGACTGACTGTGCAGTATGGTTTCACTTTGGGTATGTGTGTGTGTACCCAAAATTCTGAAAGGAGGGAGAGATGGAGAAAAAATTGTGTCATGACCATCCCCATGGTGCTTTCTCACTTTCCTTCTGTCTCTCTTGGGTGAGCACACATGTTCCTTTAGCAAGTTAAAGAGAGAGAGAGAATTGCTTTTCACATGGCAGACAGTACATGGAAGCAGAGGAAATTGCTGTAGTTCTGCCAATAAATGAGAAAGTTCAGAGCTAAAAGAAGCTGGTGTGACCGACTGATGTATATGTGTTCTAGGACTGTCGTCCAGGCATTGTGGTACAGTTTAAGGGACACCAGTTTTTCTTTCTTAGTTTATGATACTTTAAATTCAGTTAAATATGGTAATGTATTCACCTCCCTACTTCCTGATAGCTTGTTTAGAACATGTTGTGTTCCTAAGTAGTTAGACTTGTGATTTTATTTTTTTTAACTTTTTTTTAGTTGTTATTTTTTAAAATTATTTTATTTATTATTTTTTCACATGAGTTTTGCCAGAGGAAGAGAGACAGAGAGAGGGAGAGGGAGAAAGCAAGCCACCGAGTTCAGGACTCGAACCGCAGACAGCCATGTGGGAATTCCAGCACCTTAACCACCATGCCACCTGCTGGGCCCTAGACTTGCGATTTTATAAAGGACATGCAAAAAAAATTTTTTTTAATATGAGAAACTTGTTATGATGCAAATATCTTGGTGAAAATAGAAGAATAAAGTATTTGCAAGACCAGCCTTGCAGTCTAGTGGTTGAGAGAGCCAAATCCCACATGGCCAGCTCTGGTTCAAATCCTGGCCCCAGTGGCTTGAGAAGCACACTGGGTGTATGTGTGAGTGCTCAAAAATTCCTAAAAGAGGGAGAAATGGAGACTTGCTCCCCTTCCACCCTCATCCCCACACCCACAGGTGCATATCCCTCTGGCAAACTGAAAACAATTTGCTGGCCAGCCAATAGCACAGTGGTTAATGCAGTCAGATCCCAAATGGCCAACTGTGTGGTTTGAGGCCTGGACTGGGGCTTGGGGGAAAAAAAGGAAAAACGCTAGGTGCCCGTGCATGCCTGCCCAAAACCCTGAAAGGAGGGAGAGATGGAGAAGCGACTTCCCAGCTCCACCCCTTGCTAGCCTACAACTTTGTCTAAGTTACTTAACCTCTCTGTGCCGCAGTTTTCTGTCATCCAGGCACATGACGGTTCGTATGACAGTTAAATGAGTTAGTACATGCAGAGTTGAGATCAGCACCTGGCTAAAAGTAAGCAGTGTCTGCTACTTAGTATTTTTCATGGAGATTGTTTTCTGTGATTTTTTTTTTTTTAAGGAGATTTTTACTATAGGGCACAAAGACAGAGATAGAGAAACAGAAAACATAAAATCATTCCCCCAGGGAGATGGCCATGCCACAATCCCTTTTCCTCCAGTCTCCTCTCGGGATTTTGGGCATGCACGCACACGTGCTTGCTGTGAATTTTAAGCCGCCAGGTCCAGGACTCTAACCATGATTGACTACGTGGGAGTCCAGTGGCATAACCATTACACCATCTGCAGGTCCCTCCCATGATCTTTACTTTCTTTCTTTTTTTTTTTTTTAAGAATTATTTTATTTAACTTTATTTATTTTGATTTGACCAGAGAGGGACAGAGTGAGAGAGGGAAAGTGAGAAAAGCAAGCCACCAGGTCCGGACTCAGACCTTGGTGGGCCCTGTGAGAGTGCAGCACCCTTCACCACCACACCGCCTGCCTGCTCCATCTCCTGTGGTTCTTAAGTGGTACTTGGTATACAGAGTAATTCCAGATGAAGCTGTGATTATCTAGCCTGTTGTTACTTTCTTGGTTCCAGATGGGTGTTAATGTACTACTCATTCCTCCTCCCAGTTATTCCACTGTTGTTTTTTTAAGTATACTGGTTTTGACCTTTTAAAGAATTATGTGTGATTAGGATACATAGATTCACATGACTTTTTTTTTCTTTTTAGGTTTTTGCCATAGGCGCATGTGCTCACTGGAGGGAGAGAGTGGGAAAGGGAGACATCACCCCCCAGTGGAGTTGGCCACACTTCAGTCCCTTCTACTCCATTCTTCTGTCAGGATTTTGGGCATGCATACACATGTGCCCGGCATGAGTTTCAAGCCGCTGGGTCTGGGACTCAAATTGTGGTCAACCATATGGGAGTTCAGCATACCTGCTGCTACCTGCTGGCCCCCCCCCCACACACACACACATACCTTTAAAAGTTGCTAGGGGCTTCATGCACTCACCATAGAGAAGCAGGGGTGGGGTTGGGAGAGAACGCACCCCCTAATGAGGCATAGCCACTCCACAAATCCCTCCTCTTTCATTTTCCAATTTGGGACATGCACACAAACTCACCCAGCAGGTTTTTCAAGCCACCAGGGCCAGAATTTGAACTGCAGTCAGCCATGTGGAATCCAGTGTCCCTTAACCACTAGGATATAGGGCCAGTCCTAGATGTCATACACGTTTACACAGTAAAATCAAATGGAATTAAATTTGTTTGGGAAGAAATTTAATATTTAATATTTAATTTAGTATTTTTCTAACAATCTCATGGCATGCTTTTGCTTTCAGCTTTTGCCAAGGCTAACACTGGACACCTTTTAATCTGATCATCACTCTCCCTGGGCACAGGCAGTGACCAGCTTTGATAAGACTCATAGCCTTAAAGACTGCTGGTCTCAGCAGGGCAGGTTTCCATTTCTGGCCTATGACTGTAGCCTGTGACTACAACAGAAAGACTGCTATTGCTTTTTCCAGGATGGTTCAGGGAGGTTTCAGTTAGTTATTTCTAGTAGTGTGATACTTTAAATGTTGCAGTAGACTCTCAGCTGTTGAAGAACATAGGATACTGTTTCTGTTACAGCTGGCGGGTAAATGCACTCTCCCCAAAACATATTACTAACTGCGGGATAATTAATGGGGACCATCAGGACTTAATTCTAGCATAACCTTATGAGCGGTATAGTTAGGTTTCTTCTTATTGAACCATTTTTAAACTTTGTTCTCCATATTCATCTATTGTTTAAGTTGAGCTGTCCTCGTGAATAGGTGTTGTGTTAACTGTTGTCTCTGTGCACAGTATGATAAAGTATTAGAGTGAAGACTACGGTGGAAAGGGAGTTATAAACTGATCTTGTAGTGAGAGATTAACAAGCTGGATTTCTTGGTGACTCAGATTAAAGCGAAAGCATTCTATAGTTCACTCCCTCTTGAATTATACATTGTATTTCATAATTCAGAAACTTTTAGCTGTAGGGCATATTTCTGTTTAAGCAGTCAGCCTGCGGTTTCGCATGTGCTGTAGGTGCCATCATTCGTTAATTACATGATTGGAAACTTATCGTCAGTGAGAAATGACACATACAAATGGCATGTGCAGTAAAGCCGAAAATAGTACATCTGCACGTCACATCGACTCCCTGGGCTCCTTATATGACCTACTTATACGCTGCTCACAGAGGAAAGACCTAGGCCCTGGAAGCGTCCAGTAGGGCTAGAATATTCCAGCTGAATGTTTCAGATATTTGTAGTTCTACTGTGTACTCATAGTTCCTTTGTGAGTGCCAGAAGTATTTTCCATGATTAAGCTTTTAAAAGAGTAACAGAGCATTTCAGAATGTGCCCGGCAGTTAATACCTTATTTCTTGGATCTTGTTGGTTCTTTAGGGTAAAAAACAGCAGTCTCAGGCCTGTTTATCCAATGTGCTTTTACTTATTTTTTAAATGTAGCCGGGTTTACTTTCTGACTGACATGTGTCTGTGGGTTGTTTTGTCTCTCAAATACAGAGTTGCCAAATGCTGTTAAATCAACTGAGAGAAATCACAGGCATTCAGGACCCCTCCTTTCTTCACGAAGCACTGAAGGTTGGTTTCCAGACCCCTTATTAGTGAATGGGTTTTAGAGCAGTTGTTCATGTCATAGTTATGTCAGTTCAAGCTCTTTTTATGTTACGATGAAAGTGCTCACAGGGACAGAAGCTCCAACGGGTCAAATGACTCAGTATCTTCTACGTGTAAGTTATGATATGGGGTGGGGAGGGATTTGCAGTGGAGTATGCTCTGCAGGGTTAAAGAGATTTCAAGAAACATACCAGCCAATTGCACTACATAGACTCCTGATTCAGACTAATGGACTAAACTGTACTTGAGTCAGGGGCATCTAAACTGGTTATTTGATGTTAAAAGCTGTCCTGGGGCTAGACAGCGGTGCAGTGGTAAAAGGTAACGCTCCGTGAGGCTGACCCACGTGGGAAAGTTACTGGTTCACGACCAGAGACCTCCCTGAGTGTGCCGGGCACACATGTGCCCGTGATCTGAGCCGGCCGAGGCTGGGGTTGGATCCCAGCATCAGGACTCTTGTTAGGGGTGCTGTGCTGTATCTCTCTCTCTCCCTCTTTCTTGCTCATGGAATAATAAACATATTTTTTAAAAAACAGAAAAACTGTTGGAGCACCTAAAGTATGACTGTAGTACCGTAGGTGTTATTAAGATGTGTTGTGCAATGTGGCTGATGGAAGATAAGATACAGGATTTGCTTAGAATGGAGAGGTCAGGAGGTACAGATGAAACAAGATGGGCGGTGACTTGGCCGTTGTTAAAGCTGAGTGATGAGTTCATGTGCCCACTCCACTGCTGTCTGTATTAGAAATATTTCCTAAGGAAAAGTTATGAGTAAGAATGGTTGCCACAACAAAATATGGCTAACTGCTTGGCATTTTTCTGCGGAGGCCGACTTTATTTAGAATCTCTGAGGTAACCGCCACCCCCCGTTTCTTACATGTTGTGCCCTAATGCCCTGGGAAATCAGGAGCAGTACTAACTGACGTGCCAGGAATCGGTGTGCGGGAAGAGTTCGTTTCCATTTGTGTGTCGTGGGAAACCAGCATGGGACTCACGTCCTGTTCCCGGGTGTTGGGCAGACCCTTTGGGCACGTTGGACCCACTGCCCTCCGCCGTCATCTCTTCTCTTCTGCCTTCTTCGCTATAGTTATGGCTAGACTTTATCTGTGTGTCATTGTGAGGAGTTAGAACCAGAAACTAATATTCTATTTACTTTAAATTCTGGGATGCTTTACTTTGAAAAAAAAATTTTTTTTTTGTATCCTTAGGCCAGTAATGGTGACATCACCCAGGCAGTCAGCCTTCTCACTGACGAAAGAGTGAAGGAGCCCAATCAAGACACTGTTGCTACAGAACCCTCTGAAGGAGAGGGCAGTGCCGCCAGCCAGGAAGTACTAGCAAAAGTGATAGACCTCACTCATGATAACAAAGATGATCTTCAGGCTGCCATTGCTCTGAGTCTGCTGGAATCCCCCAAAATTCAAGCTGATGGAAGAGATCTTAGCAGGTTGTTGGTTTAGTTTTTACTCTTCACCAGGAAGTGCTAGCAAGTAGGTATAGTACTGCCCGTCTCCCACCTAGCAGGCAATAAGAAATGAGTGAACATGTGTCCCTTATCAGTCACATCATCCCACTGGAAATAATAGTACTAATAGCTGATTATGGAGCCATTGCTGTGTGCCAGGCATGATTCTGAACACTTAGAATTCATTGATTATTTGCACCCATTCAGTCACCAACTATGTGCTAAGCTCTCCTTGAATCCCGAGACCAAGACGAAATAAATTATATAGCATATTAGAATGCGATAAGTACCACGGGAAAAAATAAAGGACAGAATGAAAAAAAAATTAAAAAAAGGAATACCGAGGGCTGGCTCCTTAGCTTACTGTTTAACTGGATCCCATGTGGCTTTTTGGATCCTGTCCCTGGTAGCTTGAAACCATGCAGGGTGCATATACATGCATGACCCAAATCCGAACAAGATGGATGATTAGAGGAGAAGGAATTGCAGTACAACCACCTCATTGGGGGGTGCATTCTCTCTTCTACTGTTTTATTTGTCTTTGTTGAGCATGTGTGCCCTGTGGCAATTAAAAATAAAACAAACCAACAACAACAACAAAAAGGAGTGCTGGATAGAGGGTTTTTAAAAATAATTTATTTATTTAAAATTATTTATTGTTATTATTTTTTCCAATTTGACCAGAGAGAGAAAGAGACAGAGACAGAGAGAGAAAGGAAGTGAGAAAGCTAGCTGCCAGGTCCAGGACTTGACCTGGACCTGGTCAAGCCACGTGGGAGTCCGATGCCTTAATCACCACCACGCTCCTTGCCGGCCCCAGATTTTTTAAGAAGGTACAGGGCGGCAGGAGTGAGGGGCTGTGGTGAAGGGATGAGTGAGGCCCGAAGTGGGTGTTTACATTGGCTTTCATAAGAAGTGTACAGAGGCCGGAGCTGAGGCTGAGGCAGTAAGAGTTGAAGCTAGGACAGAGTAGGAGGCGCATAAGGAGAGCTGTCCTAAGTACTGGCTTTTACTTTGGCTTTTTTCATTTTTATTTTTTGACATGCCAGAGGATGTGTATATTTGCCAAAGACAGAGACAGAGACAAAGGGAGAGACAGAAACGGTTGTGCTGCAATTCCTTCTCCAGTTCTCTATCCTGCTGGAACTTGGGGCTCACAGACATGTTCCTGGAGTGTTTTCTAAGCCACCAGGATTCAAACCACAATCTGCCATGTGGGATCCAGCTCCCTTAACCAGCAAGCCCCAGACTGGCCCTTTACTCTAGCTTTTTATGAGCGGGTAGCCATTCGTTTGGAGTAGAGAAATGATGTAAACTGGCGTCCCGTTCCTGAGGAGCCTAATGGCTGCTGAGTTGGGATCCAGTGGGGGAAGGGAGTGGTGAGCACAGGTCAGACCAGGGGGAGCCGCAGCAGGATAGTGTGGCCTGGCCGGGATGCAGTAGTGGAGGGTGAGAAGTGCTTGCATTCTGGCAAGGTAAAGACAGCAGGACCTGCTTGCAGAGAAGATAAGGGCCGGGAGAGAAAGAAGTTAAAGGTGACTTTACTTTTTTTTTTTTCATAATTAGTTGAAGGGACCAAGTTGACCTTTATCGAGATGAGAATAACTGTGGGTGGAGTAGATATAGAGTGGAAGATGAAGAGATCTGCTTTGAAAATATGAAGTTTGGAGTGCCTGTCAGACGTCCGGGTGGGCAGTGGGGACCCAGGTGTACAGTTCAGGGGAGAGATCCAGGCTGGAGATACCTTGGAATCAGTCTGTAAATGAAGTCGGGAGACTTCAGCGCATTCCATGGGAATGGGTGTAAGAAAATGAAAAAGTTCAGTGCCTAAGCACTGAATGCTCCCAGTGCCCAGAGGCCTGGGGAAGTGATGAGTGTCCAGGGAAAGCCCAGGAGAATGGGACTCTGGGAGCCAGGAGACTTCCAGGATGGGGGAACCATCAGCTGGGTTACTCAGTGTTAATGAGCCTCTAGGCTCTTTGAAGCTTTGAGCTTTTCTGAGTAAGGCTGCTGTGAAGATTCTCGTGTCTTTTTGGTGCACATTGTGATTGTTTTCAGTCAATGTTCTTTTTTTTTTTAAAGAATTATTTAATTTAATATAATTAATTTATTTTAATTTGACCAGAGAGGGAGAAAAAGAGAAAGAGAGAGAGCAAATTGCCAGGTGTAGGACTCGAACCCCCTTCAGCCATGTGGGAGTTCAGTTCCCTTAACCACCACACCACCTGCTGGCCCCATGTTTTTCTTTTTGAGACTCACCATGTAGAAGAGTAACTATGGTTCATTCATTTTCAGTGGTACATGGTATTCCTTAGTCTGAATATCCTACAATGAATGAACTTATTGATTCACTTTGGGGTTGTTTTGAAGTTTTTGCTCTTATACACAAGATGGCTGTGAATTGTTTGGGTTCCTGTTTTCTTAGGCAGGTAAGAGTTCATTTGTGTATACAGTATACCTAGTGATGTAGGTGGTGGATGATAATCTGTGACAACTTCTGCTTTATAGATGATGAAAACTTTTCTGAAGTGTTTTCTCACTTACTCTTTTTCTTTTCTTTTTTTTTTTTTGGAGAGGTTTTCGCTACAGGGCACGTGCGCTCGCCAGATAGATAGAGACAGAGACAGAAAGTGAGAAATCACCCCCCAGGGGGGATGGTCACGCCGTAATCCCTTCTCCTCCATTCTCCTCTCGGGATCTTGGGCAC